TTCGCAAGAGCGATGACGCGGGGCGACAAGCGTTGCGTGTCGCGTCGCGACGCGTCGAATTGCTTTGCCTCGCGTCGTCGGGTCGTCGGCACGCGTCCGTTCGGATCGCAGTCGTGCGCGCGTATCGCTCGGGACCGGGCAGATCTTTGGGAATCCGTGTCGAGACGGTATACGCGCGACCACCGTTCGCCACGCGGGCGACAGGCGCGGCACGAGGGAGGGAGAGAGAGAGAGAGTGCGCGATCTTTTCGCAAATCCCGCGGACTCGCGAGAGAGGTTGCGCGGCGACCTTGACGGAGTGCGCGCGCCGGGAAATACGCGGGCGATTAGAATAGACGGCTGAGATTAGGAGGACGGACGCGGAAATCCCAAGAGCGCAGCGCGGTTTCCTCGGTCGCGACGGGAGTGAAGAAAGAAGAAGAATAAAAAGAAAAAAAAAGAGAGAAAAAGGAGAAAAGAAAGGCAGAAACCGCGAAAAGATATCGCCGTTGTTGCTGCCACTGTTATGCTTATATACTATATGATCGAGCGCGCCGCGCCACCGCGGGTCCGACGAAAAGTCGCGGCAGCAGATAAGGATCCCGCGAGTGTACGCTCGATATTTGTGCCGCGCGACGAAGCGCCGAAGGTCGTCAGCCGTACACGCATGATCTGACTGACTTCGGATCGGGACACTCTCGGTCTCGGCTGTGTTTCGGCTACGTTGGTGCGTGCGGTACGTGCGTACGTGCGTGTATACACGCGCGCGCGCGCGTGTGTGTGTGTGTGTGTGCGAGAGACTGGATCGTTCGCAGAATCGCAAACGAGTCTCTCTCTCTCTTTTTCTCTCACCGAGATCTTGGTAGAGACCAGTCGCTTATTATTATCGCGTTACAACGATCCACTCTCAGTCGCTGATGTCGAGAGAAATAACTGAATTGAAGCAACGTGCGCGCGCGCTTGTATCTTCAGATCAAAACGCTCAAGATATATACCATATACTGTCGCCAAAAGATTCTTTTAAGATTGTTAAAATAAAGACTGTGAGGGGTACACGTATCTAACTAAAGACAGGACGCAATGTGACGCGGAAGTGACGGTGTATTTGATCGCGAAGAGAGTGAAAATTGATAATCTGAGACGGAGAACGACACTCGGGAGGGACGCGCGGCGAAGAAACGGAGATATGGAAACGACGTGAAACGTCGAGTATTTCATGCCGATAAGATCGTGGAGTCACGATTAGTTCAAGATTGGCGCAGAAACGGCCGTGAGGCACCGGAGCGGACGATCGTGCTCTCGGGGGCACCTTCGTAAGTGAAGGCTATGTGAAACGCATTTTTTCTGACGCGATGTTACGTCGACGCGCGTCTCGTATGGTGAATTCGAGAACGAGTATCGAGACGACTTCGTAAAAGCGGTCCGTCGCGATTGTGAGCTAAACGATTCAACGTTATTCGAAGAAAATACACGAGGTATAATTAATTATTCTGTTATGCTACGCGATTTTTATCTGAGTAATTTAATTAATCAACTTGCTTTCTAATTCTCATTGTATCTATAAATGTATCGGTTTTAATTAAAATGAAGAAATGAAATAAAGAACGAAAGAAATGTTTATGTATCGTATTGTGCGGAAAATCATAAATAATTATCAAGTAAAAATATATTTTTGGACAAATGTTTGTGTGGGTGGCATTTAATTGTTTGAAATTTTTCTTTTGAAGTATTGATAAAAATAATTATATTATTACACATATACGTATTTAATTATTATTTAAACACGATGATAATTATTTATGAGTACAAGAATATTAATATTACATATATACATTTATGAATAAAATGGAATAGAAGAAAGGAGGAAAGAGAGATAAAGTTGTTCTGAAAGTTTCACCATATTGATGAATACTTGTCTTATTATTTATCTCTTGTAGTGCCTTTAAAAATCCTATTACATGTAAATTGTTAACGCAGTCTAATTGTTATAATTGTCTTGACTAATTAGCATTTAGAAGCCATCGCGGGACTAATGGAAATTACTTACTATAATAGAAATCAATTATTTTCAAATGGCACATTTCCGATTCCACCAATGTAAGACTTTAATCTCAGTTTAATTTACTCTTTATTTTTTTCTAATTTTTAGAATTAAAAAAGAAAGATCAACAGCAAGCTAAATTAAGATTAAAGTTAATCTACATCAGTGGAAACGGACAATAGTTACACAAATATGTACATGTGATATGTAATTTATATTTAATCTGTGTTCACAGTATAACTTATTAAAGGCCAAAGATATGTATAGCTGAGAATAATATTTTTTTCTCAATTTACATCTTTGAAGTAATTCTTGAAAAGCACATTCATCATCCATCGTTTAAAAGCTGTTAATGAGAAAAAATATATAATTTAAAATTAACCGTTATTGTATTGTAGTTCTCCTGCTATAAACACTTTTTGTAGCAAAAATATTACGTATGGTCGTGTGCGTCTGTTGCATATGAGTGCGTGCGAACTACGCGTGGTTGACGGTCGCGTGTCCGCGTGGCGAACCTCATCCCAGCACGTTGAATTAACACGATTACTTAGAACCATATCAATTTTCTAAATTGCTTAATTGCCTTTTTAAAATGCGTATGTCCGTTTCTTGCGACGCTCTCCAGTGATCATGTATTCATTCAGAGTTACGATTCCTATACGGTAAACATATGAAAAAATGCTTCATAACAGATGTACCGTATATCAAAATGCAAACTTTTATTCGAGATGCTTCTAAGATACACAGTAATTTTCTAATATTTTATTTATTTTGTTACACTTTATACTATAATCCTACGTATCTTTTAATATATCATAACAATTATTTTATTATATATATATTTTTTATTTTACATTGATTAATTTACTGTATTAATTTATTTTACGTCAATTCGCGAGTAAACTTTGTTTATAGATATACATATAAAGCTCGTTTGTGTATTTTTTTGAAAATATCTTTTCAATTAAGATTTGATTCTTAATAATATTTCTATATGTAGATTCCCTGAGATAATGTGAAATTTTCAAAAAATATCACAGTGATTAAAAAAAAATGTAAATTATTGTAAAATGAAAAATTTCTATTCGTGTATTGAACTTTTTCACCTAACATCTAGAAATTTAAAATTTTCTTTAAAAAATGAAGTTGCAATTCTAGCTCATATTATTGTACCTCAGCTGAACAGTTCATTCTGTTGAAAATGTATTTGAATATGATATTGTTTGCTTTCGAGCCAATTTTGTAATCAGGTCTTTTTATTCAGTGTAGAGTTAAGCTTTATCGGAAAAATTTGTTAATCAAATGCTTGAATGGTCTGCTTGGTCGTAACCTTCGCTCCAAGATTTCGCAGTAAATTTAAAATCGAGTACGAATAACGAATAAATTGCATTATGAGTCGAAAGATGTGAGTAGCATAAACATTTGACAACGATCGTTTTCAATAGTTCACTCTTTTGTTAATAATAATAATCATTTTCAAGTTAATTCTGTAACACTTGGAATACTTGGATAAAGATAGCGAATATTATTAAAAGATTTTTTAATACTTTGATTTTATGTATAAAGTTCTTCGAATTGTTCGATACGATTAATGGATAAACCATTTAATTTCTACTATTCAAAATGGAATTAGTTCATTGACTGAACCAACTCAATTGATCTTCGTAAATTTCAACTCATAATTTGATGAAATTTTTTGAACATATTATTATTACTTAAAATGTACGCAATACTATACTTACGCATCACACTGTACTTACTGTTTAATTTCAACATAATATGCTGTTATACATATATGTATATAAAAGCATTTTTATAACAATTATTCCTTTACGCGTTAAAAAAAATTATGTTATATTAATATAAAAATTGATATAAAAACTATAATTATAATAACTGAGCTCCTAACACATTTAATAATTCTACTCTTTCAAAGAGTCAATTAAAATGGAGTTCATTTTGTTCGTAAAATGAGTATTATGATCTAAGTCCTGGAAATCGGTTATTAAATGATAATAATGGTATTATTTTTATTGTCTTGGGAACGTAGGTTATCACAAAGTTTTTAACGACCTCTACTTCGAATATACTTGTTCTTCATGATATTCCACAAAACTTTCCGTACTTTTATCAGCAGTCGTTATTATTATATTTGAAGTAAGAGATTTCTTGAGCTGGTTCTTGGATTCTGGGGAAAGTTTATGCAAGAATAGGGTATGTGTGTATTTTCTGTGGAATAATATGCAACAAACGTTAATATACAGTAAGTGATAAAACTGTCAGCAACAAAATACATCATAGTCTAAGATATCAACAAGTACAACAATGGAAAACAGAAAGCAACCATATTTAACTGATGATAGAGCACTTAATCGGTAAACATTTTCCGGTAATGATTAAAGTAATACTGTGAATTTTATACAGAAAAAAATTCTTTTGTGTTATTGTATAGAATAAGAGTATAATTTTTTTAAATTAAATAGTAACATAATTATGATAAATAGATTTATGTTGTTAAAAAGAGTATTTAACTTTCTCAAAAAAAAATTGTTTTAATTTTTTGCTGTAATAGATTTTTATGATTAATTTTAACTCGATACAAATTATATACTGTATTACGTAATCTGAATTCCAAGAAGAAAGTACATTTGACTTAATGGTATTTCATATAAAAATTGAAACTAAATCAAATATTTTGAAATACTTTGTTAAAATTATTTTAAAAGTATATTATAATATATCTATATAAATAATTAGAATATATTTATATATTATAATGATGAAAAAATAAATTGTGATAAGTTAAACACTATGCATTTTGAATTAAAATTATTTAAAACCTTTTGCATAATTTTTACATTTAACTATAAAAACTATCGAAATAAAAGAAAATATTTTTAATCTCCATAAAATTTACTTTTGCGCTATTATTTATTTTACAGATTTACGTCAGAACAGCATTTTTGGGGTTAATCAAGAGGACATTAACTGTGTGAAAAATTTTATTCTCATTGGCAGTTATCAATATTACATAAGATAAAAATCCAGGCAGTACATCATGGCCCATTCCAGCCGAATTGTGCCGATCCGAATCGAGAAGTGGACTCTGCAACGCGTCTCAATGCCAGATTGCTCGTCTGTAAGCTCTTTGGAAGAAGATTGCGGATCAACCGAATCCGAGGATATGTCTATCAGCCCAGACACATCCTGCCGCTCGAGTGCGGACGCGGACAAGAGTTTCGATCTCGACAATGATTTCCGCGAGAAATTGACCAAATATGAAGATATAATCGAAAAGATCGAAAATTTACGGCTTGCGCGCAACGACGAAGACAATAAAGATGCCAATAAGAATGTCGACAGGACGCGCCACATCAGTAGCGAAAATGTGGACAACCTGGAGTATCGGAACAGTTGTAAATTAGATCATCATACCGGTCATACCGATAATGAGGATATTAACAACAACGAGGATAATATCACGACTGATGACAATAAAGACTACTCGCCGCTTAACATATGCGACGACAAGAAACGATACCATCCTTTGTACGATGGGAATTCTCTGGACGACGATTCGGAGTCCGAACAAACGAGACAGCAAGAGCAGGAGGATTCCGACGATTCCGATCTAATTCAACGAGGACCAGTCAAGCCAAATTTTCAATCATCTCGTGCATTATCATATCCTTACTCCATGATGACCTGGTTACAAACGACGCGTGCAAACGACAGCGCAGATGCCGCCTACGCAGTAGACTACGACAAAACTGCCGAGCAAATCCTGAGGAATAAGGATTACAGCGAGAAACTGAATCCTTGTTTAGACCAGCTATCGGATTCGAGTCGAAATCAGACGTTGATCGGAGCGATGAACTTGGGGATGGAACCCAGTTGGATCGGGGAGAATGATAAAAATATTTTCCGTAACGGAGATTCCAGCAATGATGTAAGTTAAATTACGTTTTATATCAATGATGACGCTCTTATGAAACATATACCATTTTTTTTAATTATATCACATGTTAAATGTGTGGCGACTTCAATTAAAGCGCATTTTTGCAGGAAAATTTGCACGAAAGCTACACTAAAAGGAAGCTGTATAAGAAGAAAGATATTTTTAGTTTAACAATCTACTCTTTATATATTGATATTAAATATTTAATGGTAAACAATCATTGTATATATAATGCTATTTGAATGCACTGATCTGGATATTTCAAACAATCGAAAAATAGTTACGTATACTGTTTTAATTTCCTCGATTTATCCTGCACGAAAAAATCTTTTAATTATATACATAATATATAGTAATTACTTTTATAATTATATATTATGTAATTATATAATTATATAATTATATTATATATTATATAATTATTCATCGATAAAAGAACAGTTGAAGTGAATGTCGATGACCGAAGCTATTAGCGTTGAAGTAACAATACGACGCAGAAGAGTTCCCCGCTCTGTAAAAAACGATTTAATCGTATTTCAGACCGCGGCACTTCCCTCCATAGTTGTCGACGATCCGGGAGAAGAGTCCTTGATGGACATCCTGTCGCATGGCGGTTTTCAAGCCGCATTGCTCTCAGACGCTGGCAGTCACTCGATTCCCTCGCCAGGCGCGAAAACCTGGTCGGATTCTCCAGCGAGCAGCTACAACTACGTTGTCTCGAGGTCGAATAGTCGGGCGTCGAGTCGCGCCCAATCACCGGGTTCTGCTACGAACGTGGAGTCACCGCAGATGCACGTCAACGTCATCGGCAGCCCGCTCGGTTCACCGCAGGTAAGTCCGCAATAATCTGCATAAATGTATGAGGAGCGCGCATAAGTAGCGCTTCGACGAAACCCGCATGTCTAGAATAAGTAAAACGAGGCGTTGAAGTCTTGCGCGAGAGCGATTGCAGTTTAGCACATTTCGAAAATGTGTAATATCACACACGCTGCCTACGTAAAGATGCTGAATCGCAGTTTAAATACAACCGCAAATTAAAATACGGCGCCATTCGTCTATTTTACCACAGCAGGTCACGCGCGATATCAGATTTTCCGATTTATTTTTAGAACGAGTAAATCATGTGATTGTACATCTTTATAGACAATTTTTTCATATCCTGAATTGATTATATTTTTCTGATGTTACTCGATGTTGATTATTACGATTTCTTTTGTCTACTCTATTAATTTACTTACGTTATTTGATGGTAATATTAATTCATTGTATTTATAATTGTATCAGAATTACATTTTGAACAATGCACATATACAGGCAATATAAAAATAAAAGAATACACACACACACACACACACACACATACACCATTTGTAACAACAGGTTTAAATATTTAAAACTGAGTCCATCCAATATATCACATTGTTCCAGCCATAAAATACCTTTTATCACGGTTTGACGAGCCTCGTAAAATATTCAAACAGCTACTTGACAGCTAATATAAGTTTATGTAGCGGTTACCACTTGCTCCTCTACAACCAAGTACAAATACGATACGAATTCTCGGCAGATGATTCAGTTAACCGGTTGCCTTCCTTCACAGGTTGCATCGACATACCGTGTGCCGCAAACGTTATCCTCCTCATCCTCGTCCAACCAATCCTACAGCGACGTGTCCAGCCCGAATTATCAAACACCCCTGAATTATCAGACTGAAGAACAGCTTGGTGAGTCCCTGTCCGGTTGGAAAGGCATCTACGAGTCTTCAGGGACGATTGTTAACAGCAGCGACACAATCGACTGCGCGTTGCTTCAACTTGTGGAGCAGGTCATAGAAGAGGATAAGCAGAGCAAAGCGTTGAAGGAACCGCAGGTTGTCTCTAATACCTCTTGCTACTCGTCAGTCTATAACGACCGGTGTGTGTCCGTACAAACATTGGGGAGTGATGTGAATCCCGCATCCAGCGAATGTCCTGGGAGCGGCATGCGTAGCGAAAAGCTGGAGGCTTGTTTGAGCATACCTAACACAGACTCCATCCAGGTTGAGAGTCTATCCATCAATAGTGACCTTATATCGGTTTATGCGAGCAAAGGGACCACAGGAGGATGTGCATTCGTGAATCGCGCGGTGAACGGCCACGCGACAAACATGGAACCAAGGTATTACGAACCGCATGCGAAGAATGACCAAGTCAACACATCAGTTATGCCGCAGCACGATGCGAACACCTTGCACGAGCTCGGACTAACCGATGAGACATCCGTAAAGACATCTGAACAGAACTTGAGGACGTCACAGGAGAAGTATACGATGTTCCATGCCGCCGATGGAGAAAAGAGATACGATCAGCCATCGTCAATGTTTGTACCCAGCGATTATCAAATACCAACGATGGTCTCCTCGTTTGTACCCAACCACTCTCAGAGGTAAACTCAATAATATGATTGTGTGTGCGAGGAAAATACAAAAATGAAATAAACGAGCCAGAGAAATGACAGTAGTTCAAATTATTGAACAAACTTGGATAATTCTGAACGTAAATCAATGTTCAAGGTTTTGTGAAATTGGAAGGAAATGCTACATCTTTTTAAAAACAAAGCTCCTTGAAAACACGATCAATTTCAGCATTTATACTTCTAGATACGTTTTAATCGTGTAACGTTTGCAAATGTAAAAAAAGGATTAAAGAAACACGTGTTCTCTATTTCCACGAAGTTACGTAATCAAAATTAATGGCAGATCGCAATGAAATGGATGATAATGAGGAATATTGCGATAAATCAACCGTTTAAGTTTTCAATGACATATTTATGTTTCCGGCGCCTTCGAGCAATTAGAAAATACGAGTCTAAGTATAAACCAAATGTAGCGCTCCTGTGCATGTTAGAGCATGTTTTTTTAAAAAACTTTAATTTCCCACTTTAATTTTAATTTGTACAAGTAAACCGCTTTTTAAATCAAGTTGTAATACAAAGTTTTGAATACAGTCATTTTTCTGTGTATTACCCATGTTAAAATAATCACAGCTTTCGCGCGAATGAGTGATAAGAAGTGTGGTTAACGACCCCAATTGCCACGACAGGAACTTAAAACGAGGCATAGTACCGTGGCCTTCGCTAAATTTACCGTCTGTAAGAGCGAGTGAGAGGCTGAAGGAAGGATTGCATCCTAAGGAAGTGGAAAGAGCCATGAGTAATCTGCTGAAAAAATCCATTGAGGAACTGGCAGCCACAGATGAGGATGGTGACACGTAAGTAACTCGTTTTACTTTATTAATAAAATAGTATAATAAATAAACTTGTTTTGCTTTAAATGTAAATAGACGAGTATAAATAGCATAAAGAACATACATTATATTACATATAAATAAATACATTAACTGGTACTGCTAAATCTTCTTTCTTTATAGTAACATTGTAGTTATAGTAATAAAAGCTTATTAATGTCTAATTTTTAAAAAATATAGATGAAGGTACAGCGATAAAAATCATCTCTCTTTTCTCAAATCTTCTTTCTGATCTCTTTTGTGCTTAAATACGATATTTGCATGTAATAGAGCGCTAATGTGCCTGGTGGGCAATCCAGAGGAATTGACAAAGAAGAAAGCTTACTTGGTGCCATTGGTCGAGAGATTGGGCAACCTGCCGAGCGCTCTATCAATGGTGAACAATCGCAACGAAGACGCTTTGTACTTGGCCGCTATGAATTGTCCGGAAATGCCATACGTCACCGGATATCTAGCTGCCGCAATGTTACAGAAAGGGATCGATATCAACCAAAGATTATACCACATGCGCGTAAGTTTCCTTATGATGCTACGCGAAATTCGTCGTTTTTACACAATTTATTAAGGCACTCTGATGTATGATTGGTCATTTGTTCGTGCTTTAATGAAGCATACATTACGTACATTTGTGGATGAATCTTTCAATGAAATAATTTCAATTACATAGAAAATATATATAAATAAATGCATTTCTGAGCAATTATAATTGCTAAATAATTAATACACGGCGCACGATGATCACATTGAAAACAGAATAAACATATAATTATCGCGGTTGAACGAAACATTAAAGATAATTCTATATACGCGACGGCGAACAATTTTTTGTATCTATCGTCGTTTCTATTATTTCAGGGCGATACGCTGATACATTCGATTGTAGCACGCGGCGATTCTCACGGGGAGGTCTTGGCGGAATTGTTAGCATTGAAGACAGCGCAAGGAAATCCCGTGTTTGATTTATCGAGGTGTAATTATGATGGTTAGTTCAACAGGAATGAGATTGAGAAGCATGAAATTGCACAGAAATCCAATACGAGAGTAAAAATGCGTGTGCATTTCAGGGAGAACCGCTCTTCACATCGCAGTCGAATCGCACGATCTTTCTGGACGAGGCGTCAAGTCCTTGGCCATAACGGATCTTCTCTTGAAAAACGGCGCAAACATCAAAATCAAAGAAAGCAAATGCGGCGACACCGCTTTACATATGGCAGCTTCGTTGAGTTGCGATCCTGCACTCGTGAAGGTAATCCACCCGAGAGGGATTTCCCAGTTTCGTGCGCCAATTATCCATGAAATTGTGAAGTTACCCGTGTAATAATCGGCTCATTGGACTGACAAAGTGATATTTATACGTTCTGCAATGTGTATCGTTTCTTGGAATCAAAAAGAAATGCTACAAATATATCGATATGTGAGAAACCTTGGGACTTTCTGGGAAAATAAGAAGAGACAATTGAGAATAACAACAAGCGCTGTTTTGAAACATTGAATAGTCTTTCAACTTTAATCCCGAGATTTTTCTAAATTAGTTCTGATGCATGTAAATAGATGTTTCCAATTAATTTTAAATAAGTTTTAATTGATTTGCAATTTATAACCAAAATGCTATTAAAATGCCAAAAAAGAAATATTGTTAAATATTGATAATTCAAAATTTGTAAACACAATCTATCAAAATTTTATTAAAGAAGGATTTAATTCTAAAGCCAAAGATCTTATAGTTAAAAAAATGCGCGTCTTCTGAAGCATGTTGTGTGATAATTTGAATGTTGTGTTTAAATATGAAACGTTCATTTCTTATCTCTTTTTTTTCATGTCTCGTGGATAAAATCGGTAGTAGATCCACCAATCATCGATGGCTATAGAAAGCAAGAAGTTGAAACAAGAAGTAATTGATCCATTCACTCTTATTCACCCAGAATTCTGCACGATAATCTTTGACATACAGTCGTCAGTGTTATCAATTTGATTACAAATAACATAACAAGTTACATATATTAGGCGTTAATAAAATCAATTTCGGGCATTTGACACGTTTTTTTTTTAACGTATTTAGATATTATATAACACATAAGATAATTGTTTTTTTTTTTAGAAGAACCATAACATCCGTCGTTATTTTTTATTTTATCCCAAGTATAATCGTAATAAATATTCCACACAGAAAATTATCTCTTTTTCTCTTACACAAATACAATTTTTTTAACAAGACGTAAATATATGTCGTACTTGGTTTCTCATCCCATAAAAATCAATGAACTTTAGTAACTTCGGTATTAAGAAAGAAAACTAATTATTTTACTAAATAAATAAACAAACTAATTATTTACAAACTGATTAAAAAAAGTAAAAGAAATAAAAATATGTAAAAAAAATATATTATAATTTTTTTTTAATAATGTACACATTAGGATAAATCCTTAACATAAATTATTTAATATAAGTTATTTAACATATTGGTGATTTATTTAATATGCAGTCTTCGTCTAAAGATTAAATTCTAAACATGATGTATACGACACGACATTTTTTATTTCTATTTACACAAATTATGCTGAAATTTTTCGCATTTTTACAGATATTACTGCGCAAGGCTACTTTGAATGATGTGAACGAAACCAATTACATGTACAACACGCCGTTGCACATGGTCGCCGCTGTTTCGAGTACCGTAGACTTGGAGAAGCAGAAAGACGTCTGTCGGTTCTTGATACAAGCTGGAGGCCAGACGAACATACAGAACCGGCAAGGAAAAACGCCGCTGGCGCTCGTGTTACCGGAAAGGAAAGAAGCCATCAAGAGGATATTCTATAAGAAAGCGTGATAACGATAAAAGACATTGAAATGAGCTCAATGATGGGCATTACATAAGACTGATTTCTGCGGAAGTATTTAGGAGCACTTGGACTCTTTGGCGGTTTCCGCTCCATTTTGTAAACTAATTGCAATAGGATTCGCGACATTCATCACGAGCAAACTCTCAAGACTGTGACTCAAGTCAGCAAGGAGTACCAATGATACGTATAACATTATTAGTTGCATAAAATTATTTGAAAAATTGTTGTAATCCCAAATTGCGCGAGTCATTAAGGAAAAAACGTAATTTACCAGAATATCTTTATATTTGTAGTGTCTGTTTACTGTCAGATACACGGATAGTCTTTTTTAAGACTATTAATATATTCTTTTTAAACAAAAAAAATAAAAAATATATATTTATATGTTAAATATATATTTATATTTAAAATTAAACGATATTTTTCGTTTAATTTTTTATTTTTAGAATGACATTTACTATTCTAGTTGCAATCTAGTGATATATATAATATAATTTTAATATAAAAAGAGACTAAAATTAAACATAAAATCAAGCACATTTTACGTTAAATATGAAAGTGTGCCTCAAGATATCTTTATGTCATATATCGCTGTCTTTGAATTAAATTTGTACAGTTAATATAGTAAATACTAATACAATTAAATTATATAATTGAGTAATCATCGCAATCAGTAATATTTAATTAGTTAACAGAAACGAATATTTTAATAACTCAAACCAAATATTTTCTAGAACGTAACATATTGCTTATGATAAATGTCGATTAATTTCGCTTATATAATTCATGACACTTTTTTCCTTCTCTTCTGTTTTTACTCATGTGATAATACCTACTTGCATTCTTTTGATTTACAGTTTAAGTATACAGAAATTACTCCATTCAGTTGCTCAAAGTTTTACTAAATCGCGACGTTATCAAAACGGATTGTTCTATTATAATATTTACAGCGTCTTTCTTTGATTAACATATACGTGTATATGTACATATCATTTACTTATGTAATATTTTATATAAATTAATAACGTTTAAATATTGTATTAATTTTTAATACAAACATCGTTAAATATGTATATATTTTTAATTCATATCAAATGCCTATGTACAGTGTGAATTTTACACTAAACTTGTTCCACGAATCGAGTTTTCCCACAATTTTTCCAGCTACTCTCATTAGTCCACACCAGCAATAACGAAAAAGAAACCTCTCGTTGAGAAATTTTCTTTAATTTTCTTTACTGTATCGTGTTATTTGCCACTTTCATATGGAAACGTGGATTGGAAAAAGTGAAGTGAGCTGAATCAGATGCAAAATCGTTACGTGGAACGATCGTAAATATTATTACGAGATTAATCTCGGCGCCAATCTTCTTGCCGCCGCGTGTATAGACGTGTACATATACTTCTTGATTGTGCATTTCCACGAATCGAAAAGCTGATACCGTAAAAGTCACTATGATACGCGTAGTGACTCCATAGCAGTAAGACAGTACGATGTGTCGCAAGAGCATGTATGTGTGCGTGCGTGGGTACGCGAATTTTGTTGAACACTCGTCGATAAAAGTGTGCTACATTAGCATAAATGTAAATCGTAAATATATTTTTATATGCACGACTATAGTGTGTGGCGCCTGGTATTCCCGTCTCTCCTGCATCGCGAGCGATATTGTAATCCTTTGTAATCCGAATGCTTTCGTGCGGCTATCCTAATGCATACTAGAGTCCTTGTTTATTGATTTATAGCAGTAACAATTCAAATGTTTTGACCTGAGCGGCAGAAATTGGGGACTTAGATACAAAAATAAAGTAAAAACAGAATATTCATCTATTTTTTCAAAAAGTATTTTGTATATTATTTATAAAAATTAAATGTATTAAGAATGTGATGTTTTATTTTTGAAAAAAGGTCGCATTTCTTAAATATTTTCACTTAATTATATCGTACATTTTTGTTCGTTAGGGAATATTAATTTAATCCAATGGTTTCACCGCCTGTTTCATCTAATAATCAATTGTCCTAGCGAAAATATTAATTGGAGTGTAAATCAAATATATGGTCAATTTACGCTTTCTTGAAGTTTTATTTATATTTCTACCACTTTTTCCTTATATTAGGTTTACGCTTCATCCTTTATTTTCATCGGAATGTTTAATAATTCGTTTAATATAGATTGACATGATTATTATTCTTGTCATTTCAAAGTAATGAATTATTAAATTTACAAAGATGACGATTGCTCAACTTCTCATTTTGATCCATCACACGATTTCTTTTTCCTTGAATTTGCATCGCATGTATAATCACTTAATACGGGGAATTATAGGTATTGCAAATTAATACAAACTAATTTGTAATTTAATTTGTCGTTGCATTATCATAATGATCCTAACAAGCATATCAATTAGAATTTGTTTACAAGCATGTAACAATTATAGCGTTATATTGTATAATGATATACATATATGTTTATATACTTTTCTATAAAAATCTTGGTAAATTATTTGATTTAAAAAGATATATTTATTATTATATTAAATATTATATGTATAAATCTTTTAAATAATATATCTCTTAATTTTTTAGTCAATGAAAAGTTGAGCTTCGCTTTACGTGAAAAGTTGAAAACTTTTCATATGAAACAACATAATTATAGATTTCGTTTCGCCATAAGGAAAGATATAGGATATGAGTGACCTTGATATGTAAAAATCAAAATAATCGCGCGGTGACACGTAATCTTTTCATAAACTAATATTTTAAGACTGTAAGAAATTAAACAGTTTAAAGAATTTGATTTTTCTTTTTTAATCCGCGCGCATTAATTGAACATTTATATTATCATTATATTTATTGAAGATTTATATAGATATCTAATAATTCTCATTGTGATAAAAAGGCAGCTAAAATAATATATTGTGAGCAAAAGCCAGTAAATGAATCATTATTTATTCTAGAATGTAGATTGTTCCTTCATTTAAATTTAAATTATTATTTATTGAGCACAATTCAAAATTGATTATTATTTTTGCACATAAAAGTCTAGAAATAGTTACATAGATATTATCTTTTATATTATTATGTTATCAGAGATTCAAACAAAAATAGAATTAATTTAATTTGTTTTTATTCAAATTTACATTGATCATAAGAAATAAATTCGAAAAATGGAATATTATCTTTTATAACATAATTTTAACTATTTATAACATAATATTACACATCTTTCTCGAACTATATTTTAAATATAATTTCTAATAAAGTAAAATCTGCTTAAAATTATAAGGTAAAAAATAATACTTCATCATTTATATTTTATTTAATTTATGCATACTTCAGTATTTTCGTTAAAGCACACAACACAAATATTAAATTTTCAAATCCAAAATATTTTTAGAATATACATATATCACTATGATGTCGAAGCAACAATTATAAAATATAATAATAATTCCTAATCACTAATACTACAGGATATACAATAACTACAGGATAACATTATCAGGATAGTTAATATCGCAACTTATCGTACAGAACATTCTCGGATATTCTTTGTAGAACTGACCGCGTTCTTCCGGTATGTCATTCTTATCATGCGACAAAACCATGCTGACATTGTCAGGTCAACTATAATATTAATTGGCGCGCCAAACCCTACAGAACTCCATAACTACCGGAATATATTCACCAAGCGGTATACATTACATATGAATGTCAATCTCCATAAAAAGCGCGGTGTGAAAAGAACTGTCTATCTTAATCGCGCACTCAACCGTGGATTCATTTGTCGGCAATACGACCCCCGAAATAGTCATTGTCTGTTGTCGTTCCGATACGTTCAACATCGAGGAAGTGGTGTTCGTTGTTCCCGCGAGTTCTTCCTGAAAAGACAGAGGACCTACCGACAGGAAGTGTCGCCAAAATATACCAAAAACTCGAATCTAACTAATATTAAGTACCTCGAAAGAATATTGCAGAAGGTACGGAAATTTGGGAAATTTACTTTTACATACGCGAAGAACTGCCAAATTCAAAAGTATGGTGAGAGCATTTCTTTTTCATTTTTTGTCCACAAATAAAAATATGTTATCTTTTATTTTGCTATCAAACGGAATATAAACTTGTATTATAATAACTTGTATTAAAATGTAAATTATATGATACTGTACATTAATATATACATATTTTAATATACAATTTTAATATACTATTTAATTATACCTATTTTTTATCAAAACTCACAACAAAATTCTATTACCGTCTCCAAAAATATGTTCTGTTGTAGAAATTTTTTGCATTAATTGTAAATAAAAATTCTGTTCTATGACGCCATAATAATTTCTTGTTTCAGATAATATTTTTTATTTATATTTATTATATTTATGAGCATATTAATTCATATTTACTGTATCCTAAATATCAGCTGTAGATAATTCATAACTGTGATCATCTCTTTGTATATCGCGAATTACGAGTTAAAATTCATATTCAGCGATGTTAATATGCTCGTCTTTAATTTACATTTACATGCAAATAATTAATATTTATACGTTTACATCTATATTTGATTAAAAACCATTTATTGAGTTCATTTAAGAGGAAAAGCTCGCATTTTTAGTCATAGAATAATCCGGATGTGTGTACACCCTAATCAATCTGAAACATTTCCCTTTCTAATTTCAGCCTGAGTACAATCGACGATGAGATTTTACGTACAAATACGGCGTATATGTTGAATATGGGAACGACCCTACTCGTTGTAATACTCATTGTGGTATTGTTCGCAACTGCAAATAACGAACAATGCCATACTCATAACAAAAGGTGGATTACTTGTAGTTGTATCGGAAACGAGGTATACTAATTATCATCCTTATATATATCATATCACTATAATTTCTACATTTCACTTGCATTTCGATTTTTTATCAAACATTGTACGTGGCGATAATTATCTCTTAGTAAAAATGTTAAAAAGTACAATACACAAGGACACAAAATAAGTGGACACAAAATGTAATAGTTGAAGATGTATGCGCTTGATTGAAACTAATTTTTTAGGAATTCGTTCTACCGGAAGAATACAATTACACGGACACTCTCAGTGTATCGATTACAGGATGCGTTTCAGCGAGTCTCTATTACTCCAGTTTTCCGGAGGCGAGCAATATCGAGGAACTAATAGTTCAAAATATCAGTGGCAATCTGAATTTTGACGTCTTCTTCACGTCGAGTCACCTGACACTATTGAAACTCTCGAACATTGGTCGGATACCGAAGATATCGAGCCACACGTTCACGAATTTGAAAGCTATTGACACGCTCGCGATCGAGGACACGCTCATCGAGACTCTCGAGGAAGAGTTTGCCTACATCAATGTCACGCACTTCATCATGATGAACGTTACGATCGAGCGGGTACCCTGCCTAAACGTCTCCGAGAAGGGCACGAAGTTGCGCATAGTGAACAGCAAGCTGCGTAATGTCACGGAAACCTTGAATTTCGCCAATTTCTTAAACATCGAGATCATCGGCTCCAAGTTCGAAATGCAGAAACCGGGGCTAATGTCCATCCAAGGCGACGTCGCTATTGTGAAGAACAACATTTTCTCAAACGTGAGCATGAATTTCGTCGCTACAACTGCCATCGTGATAAACGGCATTTGCGCGGATGGCAAGAGCACTCTAAGGCTCAGTTCGAGGAGCATCGACAGCACAGATAACAGACTACCGAATGAAATAGCTTATCCAGGAAACGATCAGCGTGGAGAACCCCTCACAGAATTTCTCACGATTCGAAACAATACGGTCTGCAGAGCAGGCAACTGCAAATGCTCAATAAGCAACGGACAGGCTTCGTGTCCTATCCGAATCAACCCAAAGTACATTTTCTTGTTAACAGGATTTATATTTATACGCTATCTTTGATGCCTTCGCTATGTTGTAACACTAACAAATAATCTTATAATCTGCATCTGACTAGATGAAACAGGTTTGTGTAAAGTCAATCTCAATTCAATGTGATCAAAATATAAGATCGATAATTTAAAAAAATATAAAGTAATTCTGAAAGCAGCACGCACATTTAGATATTTCTAAACATTAAATCATACGATTATACTATAGAGCCACTATGATAGCTTAGTGATATGTGCTTGTCAAGTAAGAAACTCCGATTCATTTCTGGATTCTGCGATTCCACATGTGATACAAAGAATTTTATAGAGAATTATAAAGAGAAATAAATATAAATTCCATAATAACACTAGATAAATAAATTATGTTATTTGCATCTTCTGTGAAGAACGAAAAATCAAATAAGTATTGCGTTATGATGTTACAATTATTCGGTTTTCTTTCATGAGCTATAGAGGAAAAAATAATTTGCCAAATTTTTAAGCTATTTTCTCTTATAACATTTTTTTTCATTTATTCCATTTAATCGTCAATCTATTTTTTTTTAATCTTTAGTTATATATGTAAAAAGAAACTACTTTGAAAAAGGGTGGATTTATATTAAGTATATGTATATTCAAATTTTTATAGACATAATCTGGTTTCTTTTTAATTGACCTATATATTCTCATTCTTTCAAAAATATAATTATATTGCTTATTTAATTACAATTATACGTAAAAGGACAAAGTAGCTGAAAAAAAAAAACAGAACTACGTTAAAACATGAAATGTATACATGAATTAGGAAATCACAAAACGTCTTTATTTCATACAAAAATTTTAAACAAATAAATGTGATAATCTTAGGCTCAATAGATTGAATCTAATAGTATATATTAATGCCTATATAAGCCAACACAGGATGTTCGTACGTGTAACAATAAAACTTATTAATAAATTTTATATATAAAAATTTATTAATAAAAGTTTTATTACACATACAAACATTTTCTATTGGCTCACATAGACATTAATATACATCACTAAAAACTTTTATAATATATATACTTTAATATACAAATTAACAAAACTTATTCAAAATACATAAAGCTGTTTACAAAAAGCAATATTACTACAGAAATCCGTATTGCCATATTATTAGAAATATACACAAATCTTTAATAATTTAATAATATTACACACTTTTTCATATACGTCCTTTTTCATATACAATTCATATTTCATATACCATTATAAATAAATTATAAATATCGATAACATTTGATGCTCAAATATTTGCATTGGTCCAAGCTCCAGATGCTTCAATATGTAAATCAATTCCAGTTTGATGTAACTCCAATGCTTCTTTCAGATTATTGATTTCTTCCAACATATGCCTATTGTTTTCTTCCAAACGACAAATAGTTTGTTTGTACGCAGTTAGTTCCTTTTCATGCATTTTTTGTAATAATTTATCTCTTGGTGTAAAAGAACCTATATGGACAAAAAATTATTGTATATTATCCCAAAGTTTATCACATATACAATATGATCACATATACAATATGATTATGATCATATTCACCTCTAGTAACACAATTTATTAACGATATATTCGTTAAATGCATATTTCAAAAATATATTAAACCAATATTGCGTCAATAAATTGTACAAACATACAAAGTGTTTTCCATAATTATAAAACAAATTAAATGCTAATCCCCGGCCAGTAAGCAATTCGCAAAATTAAACAAAGTTGAACTGGTTGTGTATATTATTCATCTATGTGCAAAGAAAATTTTATTTGAGAATGAAGCTACTGTACTTCATTAACTAATTAAAATTCAAATAGAGTTTGTATATTTTATAATATTTTAAATTAAATAAATATATATAAAGCAAAAACCATAGTCACACATTTAAACAAATTAATAACTTAAACATGTGATATCTACTAACCAACAGATTTTTGTAACTGCTCTTGGAGCTTCTGATTACTCTGCGTGATTCTTCTTACTTCATGCTCGTGTTGAGTTTCTTTAAACTGAATTTGTTTCTTTAGTTTTCGTATCTGTAAATCAGACATTTAATTTTAATTAAATTATTCAAATCAATCAATACTAGTTCTACTAAATTTTACTAAACAAATTGTACCTCGTCTCTTTCCTGCTTTAGATTACGTGATGCATCCTCACATTTAACATTTAGTCTTCTTTCTCTTTCCTCTGCTTGGCACATCATATGTTCTTTCTTTTGTATATCTTCCTTCAGACGCTTTACATGATTCTATCAATAAATTTACAATTAAAAGTACTACAATTTATAATTATAAATATTTTTAATTTCCACATACTTACCAATCATTTTACTGTGCAGCATGAAATAATATGAAATGTCTCAGTACTTATTCATATTTTAAGTAAAAGCACACTCACCTTAAGATTAACATTATCATTAACAGTTTTATGATTTAAATCAATCAGTTTATCGTGCAATTGCATTAAGTATCTATGTTTATGTATCATTTTCCAAGCAGCATTTATTACTTGTACAGATAGGTCTTTCAATGATTCCAAGGTTTGTAAATCATTATCTTCAGTTACCGATGAAATACCAAATGAATCAAATTCCTATAGATTTAGACATCAATTAATATCAAGTATATATGCATGCATATTTTAATAAGAGTGACTATGTTTATCTCATTACTTCATTCAGTATGGTTAAAGACTGCTGTAAATTATCTTGTTTACAGAATGTAGTTTCTTCACTAATACAGTTGTTATTTCGTACAGCAAACATACTTCTCAGATCTCTCTTTAGGTAAGCACCAGTGGAAATTGCACTCATCTTTATCTGTATACATGTTTTTGAATCATTTGTATATATTAGAGATAAAAATAAAATTTAATACTTCATATTTTTTATATAAAAATTGTATATTAATATTCATTTGTTTTAAGTAAACTATCTATAAATATAAATCAAAGTAAACTCAAAAGGACAAAAATTATGTAATAGTTGTGTAGAATAATTTTATTATATTTTCTTTTATTATAAGATCTTATGTTATAAAAAGTTTTATTTTTCAAATACTGCATATATTCGTCAAAAACATTAGATATCTACTCTTTTGCATAATAAAATTGTTTCAGAAAAATTTAATACTCGTATTTATTTATGCGCTTAATTTATATCAACCAAACAAGATGTTTCTCGTATAAATTACATATACAATAATTATCTTAAAAGACCGAGATTTATCTCTTCCTTGTAATTCCTAACCTCAATCATTTCTTTAATGCATATGTATATCTCTTTCCTAGATATTTCGTCTTAGATTAATTTTCCAATCATATTATTACTTACTGTAGTGTTCTTATATATTATAACGTCCTTTTCATTTCATTGCACGGATATAGCTCTAGCTGTTTCTCCTACACCCACATTCTCGTACAAGTACAACAATCCCTTACGACGGCTAACCGAAATAACCGAAATGTCTGAACTCTATAATCTAAACTTTACCCTCGCCGATAGCTCTTGCGCATGTCCACATTCCAGACCAGATACCCTCTCTTTTTTACTTATCCTTATTTCTAAATAGATATGTCAAATATGTATTCTCTCTTTCATAATTTTATGATCAAAGAAGACACATAAATAATAATTTTATAAGAAAAAGTGTAAAATTTCTAACTAAAGCTAAATTTTTTAACACAAATTATTAATTATTTAATAATTAAATGACAGTTAAAAAATTTTATTGACTTATACCCATAGAAATTTGATACTTATAATTAATACTTATTTTCAGTATTAAAAATATTATTAACAATACTTGTGAGTAATACTCAAAATATAAATAAATAATTAGCCAGTACCGATATTGTTACAATAATTCCTATAAAGCGATATTTAAATAAAGATGATATCTCTGATTTCTAATTAGAATAAAGCTAGATCTTTCTGGTTAAATTAATTATTTTTTAGAATAATTCATAATAATTATAAACGCAATTCTATCCTGTAAAATCTCTAACGTGAATTATATGTATAATGATCTAAAGTGGGATTTATAGAAGAAAGAGAAATGAATTATATGTATTTGTGATTTATTGATCACAATACGTGCACCCCATTACAATTGACGCGCGCGTCTACCAAATTACAAATAGAATTTACACATTTATAACCATAGCGTGTTATTATGTTATTAATATCATTTACATTATAATAATTATCTACTATCACAATATTTTTATTGCACGTCTTATTATATTAATAAACATACTTTTCTTTCCGCTAAAAGACCTCTCGCATTCTTTACTAAAGATTATTCAAGACCGATTTGAACACGCTACACTTTTTCAATATTATAAACTGAATTAAAAATTCTCCGTTCTTTAAATTATGAAGGCTATTTCTCTTAAGCCTTAATCAAAGATATGATTTTCAAAATCAATCATTTTGCTCATTCCATAAATTTTTTTCGTAATTGAAATTTGGCAATATGATAATAATCACTTTTAAACAATTCAATTTCATTTGTATCATGAAATTAATTTACTATTCAATTTCTTTTTAATTTAACATTATATTTTTTAAACTTGCTTGCACATATTAAACACATGTAAAACGCTACTGCTTATTAAAATATATTATAAAAGCTAAATTTCGAACAATTAAATTACATACACACACACAAAGAAAAACGTGATCTGCACCTCTATAAATATTCCTTCTCGTAATTAGCTCTTTGTAAGAGTTTATATATTACACAATTGTAATTTATTAAATTTATATATCATAATTGTAATTTATTAAATTTCGTTTGATCATGTTTCATGAAAAAATATGATACTGTCAAATTATTAACGTTGAAAGTAATTAACTTTTATCAAATCCATAATAATTGTAATATATTTAAAAACTGATAGAAAAATTTATCTTTTACATCGATTTGATTGCTATTTAAATTTAAGTTTGCAAAAATTTTAAGATTAAAGATGAACATATGAGTAATTAAGTATAATTAAATATAGTGATATTATTAATTAATCAAATGTATATGAGGAATTTTGTAATCGAAACAAGTGAATTTTAAACACGTGGCAAGGAATGCGATTAAAGTTCACGCTCGTACATTCCATTTATTAGGAAATGTTAAGATTTTTTTTTACAAAAGTATGCGTGTCATTTTTAAATTACCCGCATTTAATTATAAAAATACACCATACTTTTTCAGTACTTAAACACGAGCTTATTATCGAACTGTTTAATCATTTCCATTGCCGTGGAGCGAATAAACTCTAAAATACGAATAGGAGATATCTTAATAGTTTATGTAAATTGAAAAAGACTGACGTGAGTCAATGACCATTTTCTTGAGACGTGAACAAACGAAATTAAATTTGACGTTAGCTTGGCGTCAATTTGAAAATAGAGATATTTAAACTACACTTGTACATATATATAAGTACAAAACATATGTATTACCTCTCCCTGCTTCTAGTTATCTATCTTCGGAGTAAAGCAGGGACCATATATCCGGCCATTGTTCGTTGAACTAATTTCTCGTACGAAATAGCTATTCGATTAGACATTAGACAATGAAACGATTGATCCAGATGGTGTTATACAATTTTTTTTTTCATAGCCAGAACAGTCTCAAACATAAATATCAGAACTTGTTTGCGATATTTAGGCACACATCTACGAAGAAAGCAGGAGGGTATACCTTAGATGTTCCTCAATAAAGCGTTCTCCGTCGTAAACGACGAATAAGGCCTCTATGTATACCGTTCTGCTTCTTTTCTTATTATTCGGTTCTTATATATATAACGGAAGATCCTAGATAACTCATTGCATCGACAATGAGCTAGGACTTCTGGATTCATTTGTGTCTTCTTCTTCGCAGATGAGGCTCATAACTCGCTTCCGTCCGTCCATGTTCCACAGCACATAGGAATGTTTGGTGCCGGATACTCTACGCGCTTGGCTAAAAACCATCAATAAACATATTGTATGAGAGATATAAGATCATGTATTATATACGTGAAAGACAAATATTTATAAAATCATATATATTTAGAAATCGTTTTTCAATAAAATGTTTCTTTTAATATTAAACTTTTTCATAATTAAACTTCAAATTAAAATTCTATGAATATGTTACTTAAAATTAAGTAAGATAAAATATTTGTTCTTTATTTTTTGTTCGTGAAAAATTTACATTGCAAGAAACCAATTTATTTTTGAACGATTATAAAATTCAAGAACTTTTATAACGTTTTGATAGTTAAAAAATAATTAATTTTAACAGGTCAAAGGATTAAACTGATAAAATATTAAATAAATAAAAAAAAAACATATAAAAGATGGTAAGTCTGAAACTAGATTACTTGATGTACTTACGTTTGAAACCAATCGTAGTTTGTGACATAGGTTTCGTCAAAGCAGAATTTTTCGTATAAGTCTATTACAGAATAGTTGATAAAAGATGCATCTCTTTTAGACGGATCATCCGCCAGAGATCTTATCCAATTATTGAAAGAAAGCAACGCCATGCTTTGTTTCTTATGAGCGTAAATGCTGAGGTTAGCCAAAGGTGGAAGAGTACAGATAGTAATGGCTGTGTTTGAGAGATAAAACTTAGACCGGAGAACTTGCAAGAGTTCCGTCATATCGTATACCATTTCCTCGCAAGTGGCGTTCTGAAAAAAATCGAATATTTAATGAAAATTTGATTGTGTAGTATTTCATAAATGCAAACAAATAATGAATTTAAAGGCAAATAGATAATTTATTTAAAAGCTTTCTATATCACATACATTAGTGATTAGATAATATTTATATTCAATTTACTTCTTGATACGTTTAACTGCGTGCAATCTGCTATACATCAAGAATAGAGCAAAGTCAAATTAACTTACGTTATAAACATCAGCCGAGCCAAGTAAAATCACGACACGATTAGAGATGGTATTAATATTCCTCAAAGCCCGAGTACAGTCGCTAATGGTCTGTCCGGAGATACACAATCCACAATGCAATGCTAAGCTATCTGCAAAGTAATAATGAAATACCAAATTTATAATTGCATATTTTTGAACTAGTTTCTGAGGTAACATAATTTTAATTAAATAATTTAAGAGACGATGTAATTTTGTTCCAAGTGGAAAAAGAGTTATAACAAACCAATTTAGATTTTAGTGCATATATAGGATCTGCATGAAATTTTGTAAAGAAAATTTTTACCTTTGTATCTCCAAATAGGAAGATGCAGATTTCGTATTGCAAGCTGTAGAAAGAAATCGTCGCCGAGTAATTGTTGTCCGTTTGCAACAGGTTCGTATATGTTGTCCTAATATAATTAACATAAAACATTAAATATCTTGTATCTTTCTGAAAATTTTAAATTTGAAAACCGTAAATTTAAGTTTTATTGTATACACTCACATGTTTTTTCATTTGATTTGTTTCTATTACTATCGGGTGATGATTTTCTTCTTCTGTATGTAAAAAATCTTTATTTTTATAGACGCCATCTAAAATAAATCAATTTATTTATTTAAAAAAATATATTTTTCGTAAAATACGATCGCTATAACTCTGATATTATATAAGTATTTAAAATGATTTTATGTTATAATAAAATTAAAATTTAACTTTAATCATAAAATATACAGAATGAAACAAAACTATAAAATTAAAAATTGTTACAAATATATAAGGAACAACAATAAATCAGATAAAATTTTAAAATTGTATAATCTAGGAAAGTTCTTAAAAGCACAAAAATAAAAATTAATTGAACATAATTTCATAAAATAATAAAATGTTATTT